TATCGGATGGTTTTAACTCATGCGACAACAGAGATTCCTTGCTACTATCTACAATACTGTTAACCTCGTTTTTAACTTTGATCCCATTCAAGGGTACCAGGTTGTATTTTGTAACTTTCAAAGGCGGAATCTCATCCTCCGCGCCACCTAGAAGTTTCATATTTTCCAATTTACTTAATTTCCCATTATCCAATTCAGGTTCAGCCGTCTTTATCTCGTATTTAGTTTCACTGGTTTCGGACTCTTCTTTAAAGTCACCCGCGAAATCGACCTTACTATGTGGTTGCTGTTTACCTGAAGTTGGAAGTTCTAAACTTGATTCCAACCTCGAATCCATATCTGTAGTCGGATTACCTTCTTTTTCTGGCAAATCCCACGCATCTTCTCCTTCCTTTCGAAAAATAACCTCTTTATTAACCTTTTTATCGCTTTGTAAAATAAATTTCTCTTCTTCCGAAAGATAACCCTCAATTTTTATATGTAGATCCTTTAGGGCATATCGAGTTTTTAAAAGCACGTTATACAGAGGTAGTGCGTTTAAGCTTCCAAATAGCAGACGACTTCTGCCCACTGCTTTACCATGTCGTAAATCATCTATAGCAATACCAATTTCTGCCAACGACATTCCTGTATAGAGGGCGTCAAAAATCAGCACTTCTGGAAATATTAATGAGAATGGGAGAATTAGGAGGGATGCAAAGTCAATCCAGTTCATATATTTCTGTTTAATTTTATCTCGGTTAGAGACAATCATCTTTGGAAAGTTTTCTTTACTTTCTACCATTACGTTAAATGTTACAACATCAAATAAAGAGCTTTTTTTAGGAACCTCTTTATCAAATAAAAAGTCTTTATCAATTTCCTTCTCTGATAAGTGCTCCAAGAGTTTCGTGACATCCTCACTCTCAGTAAATGAAAAGTGTGCAAGTAAATTATTCCTTTTAGTTTCATTTCTACATTGTTTTATGAACCATAAGAACATTAGTTGAGTGTTTGTAAATTCATGGATAGGTGATGAATTACCGTTAAGGTACAGTAGAGTATGCCCATCGGTTTTATTTACTATGTAAAAAATGTCAAAGGAATAGACATCGGTTTTAATATTGGATACCCAGTTTAAAACGAATAGGTTTATAAAAGGAAAGGGCCCTAAAATCTGAGCCAATAAAGTGAACGGTAATGGTCGATAAAGGCCAATAAATTTAATTTCTACGCTCTCCTCTCTTTCAGTAACAGCATTTATTGCAAGGGTTGCTCCTTTTTCGCTTAATGAATGTTCTTCATACTGCAGTAAAACACTTTTAATAAATACTAAACGTAGATGTTTAGAGAAGTTATAATAATTATCATCCCAATAATTGTTTAAATAGTTTTTATACTCCGTCTCAAGATCAATACTCCCTGCTATATTTCTAATAATCTCTGGGCTGATGGACCAATGTGTTTTGGGAGTAAAGTCATACTTGAGGTTGCTCTTATATATGGCAGAATAAAGATAAAATTTTTCATTCGAAATGGAGGTTTTTACAGTGTGAACTTGTCCCCCAGTGGAAATAGATAATGTGTTACAGGGAATTCCTGTTTTCATAGCGCTTTCATCAAAAGCAAAATGAGGCCCTCCCTCTTTATCGAAGTCTTCATAGATATAATGAGGTTTAGAACCTCCACAAAAATTAACCGACTCTAGGGCATCACTTCTATCCCACTCATTGTCTAATAAACAACTAGCTAAACTCTTTACCATAGTTATGTACGAAAAATTATTTTTCCTAGTATATATAATTGTGACATATTTTGCTTCAGTGGCATCGATACTTTCATTTAACTTGACTTTAACAGCGTTCTCTATTAAATTTTTCGCTTTTTCCAAAGGTGACTTTAATACTTGGAAGGGAAGGCCTATATATTAAATAAATAATATTATTCCATAATAATAATGACACAGACATAAGAATAATATTAAAATTTAGAATTTTTATTAATTTTAACTTACCAAAACCTAAAAAAACCACTATTAAAAACTTGGGTAGAAAGAACGTCTTATTAAATTCTAGATAATATTAAAAAATTGTCAAATTAAAATTTTTTAAGTTGTTATTACATTTATATATATACCCATTTTTTTTAAAATCTAAATAGCACTCTATGTAAAGTAAATTGCAGAAAGGGGACCTCAGTTTTTATAAAAATAGATTATAGAGTTTGTGCGTAAGCTAAGCATTTATTCGTACAGAATTATCCTTGTAGTTATAAAATAATAAAGTTGAGATTAAGTGACTCTCTTGGCCACTTTTGTATGATTAAAAGTCGTGGAGTGTTAATATCTTCCCCTTTTAAAATTTTATAGATTTTAAGTCACCTCAGTTACTATTAAACAAATAAAATTCTAATTATTATTTGCAATATTTACCGACGTAACTAAATCTTTTTTGTATATATATAAACAGTAGTCGGAACGATTAACTTATGTAGTGAAGATTAATAATAACATTAAGTAGAAAACGGGATTATAGTCCAAAATATTATTTTGCATCGTAAAAAAATTTTTACTTTTAAAAGATGTATTTATTGATAATTAGTGCAAACAGAAATTTATATAATTAGCACATAAAGTCCCCCCCTCACCATTTTGACTTTTTCTTCTCTAAAATTTATTTCACTAGCAAGCTGTTCTCAAATTAAAAATAAAAATTAAGCTTTAATATAATCTATAGAGTAAATATTCAGAGGTTTAGAAGCGAAATTTAGTTTAGATATTTAATTAGAAAAGGCTGTTAGTCTACCACCATCTCATCTTATATCGCATAAACAACGCTGTTATAGAAACTGTTTAATTTAAAAAAGAGATAAAAGTTTAATATAACATTATGAATTAAACTTTTACAAAATAATTCTAGCATGGGGAGAACTTTCATTAGACACTATAAAGTATATTCTATAAGTTAAAAGGTATGTCCATACATATCTTCGCAATTTAGAAATCTTATAAGCTTCTGTAATATTATATGAATTGTTTAAAGTTAAATTGGGGTTATTTATCGCTTGTAGATTTTCTGAACCGCATTTAGAAGTCTTAAAAAACTAGTTACAGTCTGAAAAAATTAGTCTTTATCTTTTATTAGTATTTGCCCTGACAAAATTGGAGCTTAACAAAAATAATAAATTCTCCAGAAAACTACACATGAATGAATAAATGTCTTCTAGACCAAAAAGCGTATCCACTCTGTCCAATCTAAAATTTTCACCATTAATGACGATATTACAAATTCTGGTCTAAAATTTGTACGTTTGTACAATTTAAAGTTTACAATAAGGGAGGAAAACTTCAAAAAGCGTTCTTCTTCCCTCTTTCGTTTTAGTGATGAGAACCCGTTTAATGTGTCTATTGTACTATAGTTAGCATTTTTATCTCAAAGTTAATAAGGTAATGTATTATAAGTAGGTTAATATCTAATATTTGTCCAAGTGCGCTTTGAGAGACTATAATAATTTATTTACTTATTTAATGTACCATAGCGCCCAAAACAGAGTTGCTTAATAAATTACCTCAACTTTCAAGTACGTTAATGTCTTAATCTAATATTAAAAGCTTTGAGTAATTGAATAGATAGATATAGAATAACATAATGTTAAATTGCGTTTATAAAATGTATAAGTGTAATATATAGAGTGAAAGGCTTACGCGAGGAGTTTTCTTGGAAGGATTGTAGAGGCCATTTAATATACTCATGTTAGATAATAATAAAGTTAAGAAGCTTTTGAAAATATATTCTAAAACATACTTTCGTAGCAATAATAAGTTTGAACTCTTAAAATTTTTTAATAAAAAAAAAGGAGCAACAATTTAGATATAGACAATTTTTAAAATAATGTAAAGGCTGCCAAAAATTCAACTTAAATCCTGAAAATATTGGCTTAAGTAGCGTCTTCTTGCAGTGGATGGTAAAATTACACTGTGAACGCAAAGTTCTAATAGGGAAGCATTAGCACTTTATGTAGGTGAGGCGTCTTTGCTGGCTGACGACTTGTATAGGCTTGTCCTACAGTGTCTTTGCAGGGCTAATTACCAGCACTTGCCGATGGGTTGACCAATGAGGGCTTGCTCAAAGCGATATAGAGCAAAGCGGACTAAAGTGCAACAAATGAGTATTCTACACATTAAAAATACCACCATTCATGAAATACACCACTGCTGTATGGGCTTACGATTTGCCGGCCATGACGTCTACTCCGTTATCGCGAACAAAAGAAACTTTGCGCCTCACGAGGGCGTGATTTGTGGGCCCATAAAAAAGATTTCTAGGTATAAGCGAACTGCAAATGAATATAAGTTCCTTTTATTTTACCAAAAATTTTTGTTACCTAGTTAGTCAAAAGATTCTATTAGAAACAAGCTATTTTATGTAAAGTCAAATATCGAAAAGACTGAACATATTTGTTAAGTTAATGACTGGATGATGCACTTTTGCCATAAAATCAATATTTGCAAGTGAAAAATAGTGTGTAGTTTAAAGAATAAGTAGTAATCCCATGTAAGTGTAGATAATTGTAAACGCATTAAGTTTTAAGTTATGTTAATTGTAGCCCTTTATATATATGTATGTAAACCAGCAAGCCTATATATATAGAAAAAAGGTATATAAACATATAAAGTAATATCACAAAATCAAGATTTATGTATTTTCAATATAGTTGTGAATTATTATAATTCTACTTTCCACGTGTCATTGTCTCACATTTTAGCATTGTTATTTAATTTTTCTGCAGTTCTAAATGAACTTTTTCTAAAGAGTTTCATTTTTTTTTTTTTAAATTGCTCTCTGCTAAACTCTGATTGGTTGTAAAATTTGCAGCTTTTTTAATATTTAATAGCAACATAATGAAAAAGAAAATTCATGTGAAATAATTTAGTTTACTAATTCTAAACTTTTAAACACGCGGAAAGTAATGCATTTTCTTCAAGAATATTTTTATTACAAAGTAAATTCATTATTTCTTGTTTATTTAGTGTCCTCCACAATAGTTTTTATAAACTCAATAACTTTCATATATCGTTCATCCTGATTAATAATCACATTGTTGTATGTAACATTAACGATAATAAAAAATTATTACTTTAAACGAAGTCGGTTTGCAAATACTCGTGTGATCAGTGTCGTATTCTTCATAAACGCCAAGCCCTGGATTGGAAGATTCCACAGGAACAATTACAGCACTGGTTGTATTAAAGTCATTAAAATATAGTACTTTCGGCTCCACAATTTATAACAAAAATTTAAACAAAAAATAAGACAAGACCGACTGCACTATGATAATATTATAGTGAAAATGTTAAGGGGAGGAGGCGGTACTTAATGGCCCACGTTATATTGGTAGCTTTCAGTTCGCCGAGGCTGAAGGACTTGATATTTTTAAGCTTGGAAAAGCGGCTGTGGAGTTTTAGCAAATAAGGAGAGTTCTAAAAAACAGTCATAACAGTTTAAATTAGAAATGAAAAAGGTTAACAAGAAATTTGGTAATGATGATAATATTTATAATAATAATAATATTATTATTAAATAACCGATCGTAATTCGTCTACTTCGACAGACGGAAAAATAATATATCTGAGCTTACTAAAAACTTGGTCCGCCACGGGCGAGCCAAAGTGCGGTGTCGAATAAAAAACGACGCCTCGCGTGTGTTCCGCCAATCTTAATCAGAAACATGCTTGGTCAACCAATAGGGTTAATACGTTAAAAAATCATAATTTAAAGTTTTATTATGATCATGGGGTCACTAAATTGGCAGACCAATAAGGTTAACCCATTAAAAGTCACACTCAATTTTAAAGAATTTTTTTATTACATGTTCCCCAAATGTTGGGCATGGAAAAAATTTTAAGACAAACAATAGCAGATGGTCTACGCTATTAAATAATAAAGTGAAAAATAATAATAATAGTAATACTCTCTATAAACTGGCGAGTTACTTGACCCCACCAATAGGCACTTAACGATCAGACCGCCCATTGAGTGAGTCACAAATATAGTCGGCCGCCTTCCAACCCCTGAAAGGTATTATAATAAAATCATATTACTCATAATATCTTAACCGGCTGTGTGCAATTTCGAGAGCAAACTTGAGGCCTTGGAAATAATGAATTTATAAAAGTTTATTACAAGTTTTTTTAAAAAAAAAACTTTTTTTCGCAGCGTTCGATTTCTGATTGTTTCTGGTAGCAAAGGGCAAACAGACGCCCAATCACTAAACTGCGTATCGTATTCCACGCTAATCACACGGACGTTGGGGATGGACTAGCCAATAAAATAAAGTAAAGATTCATTAATCAATATACTTAAATATAAGAAGAAAAAAAATAAAGTGTTATCAAGCCATAATAAAAATAATAATATATTAAAATAGTAATGAATTAAGAAAATATAAATGTTTATAAGTAACCAATAATAATGACAAGGGCCAAAAAAATAGTGAGCAAAAAATTTTTGGAAAGTTTATAAGCACCCATCAAGAATAATAACTAATAAGATTCATAAAAAATTTGTAAGCACCCAAAAATAATAATGAATAAAGAAGTTATATATATAAAAAATTTATTAGCATCGATAATTTTTAAAAAAAATTTATAAAAAACTTTGTAATCACCCAAAAGTAGTAATCAGAAAAAAAAACATTAAAAATTTTGTAAGCACCCGTGGTAGCCAATACTTGGGCCAGCAGCTCGTTTGGGTATCGCTTTGTTCATCCACTGGCTCAACCGCTGTTCAAAAAAATTTATAAAAATGTCTTCCAGCTGACATCGGACGAATGAAAAGGCAATTTAAATAACAACTAACCAATTACGCATAATAGAAAAGATGGTTATTATCTACGCTCTTACAGGAAACCCCAAAAACTGCGCATTATTTTTTATAGTTCCAAGCAACAGTAATAATAATGAGAATACTTCTGGTATTACTAAAATTCAGTTCGTTTTCGGCTTCTATAGAAGGAGAGCTTTCTCTCATCGGTAGAGAGCGCCAAGTAAAAAAGGCGCCACCTGGAAATACATTAATAATAATGAAATAAAAAAAGTTTTACTTTTAGCATAAATAATAAAAATATATTTTATTATAAAATTAAATCAGAATAAACATAAGAAAATATCTATTATGATAAACTATATTGAACCGAAGAAAAATAATGTAAAGTTTTATAAAATAATAACAAACCTATAATTGATATACTAAAAACAAGTTATTATAATTAAAAGCTGCATATATAAAAAATATAATAAAAAGTAAATTATACTTTTTTATAATTTTTAAATATTAATATCTTTTATAATAGAAACTTTTATTATTATAATTATAATTATTATTATACCGAGCAATCCATGAACAAAAACAATGTCCACTACTGGCTCTTTTTTTGACCAATCGCTCTTCTTTAAATTTGTCATAATAAAAAAAATAAATACAGGGAATAGAGTGAAGCTAGATATGGAACTTAAAAAAGATAGATAAATTATTATTGAAGGTAACTTCGACCTTTTCAGACCAATGAATGTCTCTTTTTATATCATTATCTATATTTTTAGTGAGAAGAAAAGGAAAAAAGGGCCAATGAAAAAAGAACTTACACCAGAGTGGCTCCAAAAGGGTCGGATAGAGAAGATAAACGCCGTCTCGAAAAGTTTCTTGTTCTTTTATAAAAGTTTTATTAGCGAATATAACAAAAGAAAAAAAAATTCATTAAAAAGGTAGTATGCCAAAAAAGTTTTATAATTGGATATAACAAAAAAGTACTGAAAAAAAAGAGAAAAGTTTTACTAATGAATATAGAAAAAGAAATTCATAAAAAGTTGTATAGAAAATTAATAAACAAATGATTTCTCAGAAAAAATGAACTTTTTTTAATGGGTAATAAACTTTTATTCAAGTTTATTAATGCGCGCGTGGCTTCCGACTGCAGAGCGACATTGCTCTTAATATTGGCCCATTCCACAAGGAGGCCAATGAAATCGCTTCGAATAATAACTTCAGATAATTGATCTGTTGAAAAGTATTCGAAATAAAGAACTAAAATACACCATTAGCGTTAAAAAGTAAATAACTAGAAAAATAATGATTATTTAAAAGCAATTTCACTATAAAATATGCAAGCGTGCCGATTTTATATGCATTAATCGCGTAGTTCACAAAAATAATGAATATGTAACGATAAATAGTTATGAAAACTCTGAAAAAAAAATTAAGAATAATATAAAATATACAAACAGAACTGTATGATATTTACTTTTCACAACTATTTAAAAGTTATTCGCTAAATTTTTTTTATCAACGATAAATAATGAAGCGCGCTTTCCTTGAGCTGATAAATTTGCGACGATGCGCGCGACTTCCAACTTTTCCTGAGCGATTTGCTCTGAAGTGTACTGTGAAGGCGTTAATTCTAATGTGTCCAGAAGCACTTGTAACCCGTCGGACTCTCCAATGAGAATGCAATTTTCGTCTTCAATAATTATAGTGGGGTGAAAGTTTATAAAATAACAAAAATTAATAATAAAAAGTTTTTCAATGTTTTCATTCTAATTTTGATTGGCGCCTTTCACATAATAAAACAGTTATATTTAATTTTATTGGTCCATAAAATTTATGAAGGCCAATCGTCTTGGAAAGGGTAGAGTGAACAAAAAAGGATTTCGTATACAATTGGAGGGTTTAAGCCCCAACAAAAATTAAATCCTAATTTTTGGGGGCCCCATAAATATGTGTAGCTTAATAAACGAACCAACAGTGGATAAAAGCGCTAATGAACGAATGCATGTCTCCCTTAGCATAGCACGTGAGTCTTGAGAGCCGGACGGAACACGAAAACTTGCATCATCGCTAATCTTTGTAGAGAATAAATATAAAAAATTCACGAAAATAAGTACAAAACTATACAGCCCTGACAACTATTTTTTACGGGTAAAAAAAAAAGATAAACTTTTTACATTGGTAAATTTTAACGAAAGAAAAATAGTTTTATCCATATTAAATAATAGGAATTCATTATAATACTGAATATCTGTGCGACTTTTTTTTCTTGTTAACTGCGTCATACACGTGCAACCGTTGGCGCGTGGCAAAGAGGATGTATTCCATGCATTGGTCACTGGCTTTTAGCTTGGAAAGCAAAATTCTGACGAAAAAAAATTTCATTATTTTTTTACTTTTTTTTTTGGTGAATAAAAAATAAACTAACAAAAATGTAGATAGTCATTAAAAAAACGAGCATAAGCGGGCGAAGCCCACTAAAAAGAACCCCAAAAAAGTGCGCTTTTCATTATTTTTATAATAATCATTAAAAAAATTACAAACGCTGAAGAAAATTTTTTATAAAGCCAACAGAATTTAAATTTTAAAAATTTCTGCAGTTTTTTTACTGCAGCGTATACATAAATACCGACGAAAAAACGAATAAAAAATAATGAAAAGTTACTCACAATTAATATAATTATTAAAGAGCACACTGCAAATTCGAGAACTTTTTGATGATGAAGTAAAAAGTGACTCCTTTTATTTATAATAGCAACCAAGTAATATATAATGAACTATTTAAGCGCATTTTGTATAACAATTATAATTGGTGTAGAGCCAAGTTTGATTATGAAATAAAAAGAAGCCATTTAGAAAAGTTCAGGCTATAAAAAAACGGTTCAAGCCCATTCGCTAGGAAATCTAAATAATAGAACATGATTGGCTAACCCTTACCTTATTAAACTTTTTAGTGAACTTTTATATAAAAAAGTTACTTCAAAGAAAAAGTGTTTTCCATAAAAACTTTTAAATTAAAAATAAAAAATATAAAAAAATTAAAAAAAACTTTTTATGCTCACTAAAAAAAAAGTTTGTAAACTTTTTTATATTCTTTTTTATTTGATGAAGTAATAAAAAATATTTACAATATTATTACGAAAATATATACAATTATAAATATTGTAATAAGAAACTATAAAAAAACTTTTTTAGATAATAAATATAAAAAGTTCATGAATTAACCATAAAAATAACTACAAAAAATGGCATAACAAATATATATTTTCAAAATAGTAAAAAAAATTATCATTCTTCTTTGATTGGTTCAATAAAGCTTATTTATAAGAAAATATTCGTTAAATTAAAAGCCAAGAATTTTAAAGTAACCAACCAAAAGATATGAAACAAAACTCTCAACCAATGAAAAGTTGGCAAAAAATTTACTAACTTCCAGTAATTATTATTATTATTACAAAAATAAGAATATTCATAAACAAAAGCAACCTCAAATCTTGAAGATTTTGTCGTTCCAGTTTGCTTTTCTTATGCTATAATAATAATAATAATAATAATAATAATAATAATAATAATATTAATAATAAAATCTTTTACAGCATGCAAAGTTTCTTTTTTTCCAGTTTTAAAAAGTTCGAGTGGAATTGATTGGATTAATGAAAGACCACTCTATTGGTTCAATATTATTTAAATTTTTTAATGACTAATCATAAACTTTTATATAAAAAACATTCTTTTATTGAAATATAATATTAAAAAAAAACTTCATTATATAATAGGTGAACTCACTAAAGTTTTATAGTCGGCGTGCTTGCGGATATGCTCTACCGCGCGCGTGGACGTAGAAGCCAACGCAGCCAATAGTAATAAGCAATTCGGACGGTGCGACTCCGAATAACTTTATGTAGAAAATAAAGTTATACATATATATTAAAAGTAGAATAAAAAGAAGTATAAAGATACGAAAATATAATAATAATAATAATAAGTAAAAAGCAAAAATATTTTTCTAAATTTAATAGTTAAGTAATTTAAATTGTAAAAAAATTTAATTTAATTTTTCTACCACCTTTTAACAAAAATGATCAACACTAAAAAATAAATTCTATGTAGTAAAAGATTTATAAATAATAATTATACAAACTTATGTTTAACTAAAAGATCAATATCATTTATAATTAAATAAAATCTAAAATTAATGTGTAAAAAAATTTATTTTGTAATAATTGTAATTAGACTCTTCTATTATTTGAAAAAGTAATAAAAAAACCACAAAATTAATTTTTTTATCAAAATTTAATAAAATTTAATTAATATTTAAGCATAAAAATGAAACCTCTTTTATACCTTTCCGCAAATCATAAAAAAAATAAATCACAAATAAAAATCTTTTAATCTATTGGCGCGTATTATAAAAATAAAGAAAAGCAACTTCTACTTTTATTTCATTTAAATCTGAAATTTTCAAATTCAGTTTAAATCTTAAAATTAATATAAAAATCTTTTAAAATTATTTTGCGCGGTTAAAATTTTTTATCTTCAAATCGAAAAAATGTAAACAAAAATAAATTAAAATCAAAAATCTTTTAAATTTATTTTACGCATATTATAAAAAAAATAAAATTCTATTTATTTTACTATTGAATCTCAAATTTATTCATCTTCAAATCAAACAAATTTATAATTAATAAAAAAAAATAAAATTATATTAAAATCTTTTCTTATAATTTACTTTTACTTTACGCATATTATAAAAATAAAAGCGAATTTAATTTTTATTTACTATTTGAATTCCAATTTTAATCTTCAATTTCGAAAAAAATTATAATTTATATAAAAATAAAATAAATTTATAAAACTTTAACATTAATTTAGCACTTATATAAACGATAAAATAAAATCAAATTCTAATTTTATTTCCTATTTGAGTTTCAAACTTTTCATCTTCTATACAAAAACTTTTATACTTTATAAGAAATATAAAAATAAAATTTGAATTATTAATTTAGTAATCAATTTTTTTTTACTTGTCCTAAAAAAGTGATTGCCGTTATAACGAGTCGCTTATTTTTTTTTTTTAATGGTCGCCTTCTGGCGCATGTGACGTAGTTATTAGCTCTCATCAGTCAATAATAATTGAAAAAGCAACAGATCTTAATAAATAATTTCAGTTTAAAACATTAACAAATTGTAAAATTTTTTGATCTGAACTTTCAAGAAAAGATCAATGAAATTAGCTTTTACTTTTTTATAAAAAAGTTTACACTATAAAATAAACTTGAATATAAATCATTTATTTTTTAAAGAAAAGAAATTTAAATTTTGAAAAAATTAATGAAAAATAATAATTTTGAATGGCGAATTAAGCATAACAAAATTGATTTTTTTCTAAAAATATTCCAAAAACGATTTTGGTAAAGAATAGAATTACCATATTATAGTGAAAATGTTAGAAGTGAAAGTGCTTGTTTTAGTAATTGAGGACATTTATACTTTTTAATATTTAAACTTGAAACTTGTATAATATTAAAATCTTAAATTAATCGGCATAATATTGTACAATTTTTTTAATTTTTGAAATTGATTAATTAGTTTAAAAAAATACTCAGATAACGTTACCAATTTAAAAGATTGATAAAAGTATTAAAAAAAAGATTAAAAATAAAAAAATATATAATTTATTCGTGCTAAATGGTTTTCACTAACTTAATTTATTCAAAATCAAAAAAAGGAGACAACCTGAACTCAGAATTATTTAAAAATCTCGTTAGAATTTCTACCAGTGCAAAAGATTCTAAAAAGTTAAGCTCTTCTTTATTTATTGTAACAAAGTTGTTTAAGATTTTCAACTGCGTCTGTAGCGACGCAAACTCCAAACTTAAATAGAAAAAAGAAATTAAAAAAAAAAATTTCGAAATAAGCAAAAAAACGGGCCTCGCCAGTGAATTCAGAAGATTTAACAAAGTAGAACTCCCCATCATATGAGAATGAGTACTTAAGTAAGTGGAAGAATCTGTATACGTTAAAGTAAAAGTGGACTTATTAACTTTTTCTTCACGTATAAGTTTATTAGCAGGACTTAAAAAATAGGATCCCGAAATTAAAGAAAAGCCTAATATCAACAAAAATAAAGTAAATTAAAAATAAATATTGTATAATTATGTACCCAGCAAGGCCGCCCATTTTGTTCCGCAAATTACTATATTTCGAGCCAAAACGCCAAAAGGTTTTACATATATTAAAGTTTTCATTATGTTTTAAGAAATATTTAATAATAATAAAGATATATATTATATGCAACGCGAATGAGAAAAGCAATTTTTTTAAATTAAAAATCTATGTTATGAATTTAAGCTATGGTCATCCCAACTATTTTGAAGCAAAAAGTTCCATGTTAGTTTTTTATATTTTTATTTTTTACTGACTTTATCAAACTGAAGCAAACCTTTAAAAGAGAATCTTAAACTAATTAACTTTAGAAATAGCTTTGAAGCGATAAGGCGTGACACCTATAAGAGATAGTGACCAGCCTTTGGGTTGGCATATATGTTATCGATGCATTCTAATAAGAAATTTATATAATTTTTATTTATATATTACTGCTTTTTAATTTTATTAAAAACCGGAACCACTTATGAACTACTCGATCACTTTTTAAAAACAGTGTTCTTAGATTAACTGTTAAATTGTTTTTGTTCTCGCTCTATTAAAAAATTAATAGATTGAACGAATTTAAAAGTAGCACTTTTGTTTTGCTTAAGCTTTCACCATCTTATCTTTATAAGGTTCTTAAAAATTCTCTATTACAAACTTTAATGGGTGAAACGTTTAAAAAATAGTACAAAAATATTTATCGGAAAGGAGCATCTTCACCTGCATCCTTTCCCACTATCGGGTTTTAAGTTGTATAGAAGATTACTGTACTCTAGAATATTAATTATCACAATTATTTTATATTAACAATAAAGAAGTACTTCCAAAACTCATTGCTCAACTACACAACTTATAACCTTTTATAATATCTTCCATAGTACTCAATCTTCTTTATAATTGAAATGTTTATATTCTATTACTTTTATCTTTTAAGTTAAAAAATATAATATAAGTAACAAAAATACTTGATGCCTCTCTAGATTTGAAGCCTTATAATCTACGCCGTTATTTTCTATATTTTTTAATCAAATTTTTAAAAAAATTCTTATTTTTATTGCATTTATTATTATTATTACAACAGTTTTTATTTATATTAATAATTGTAACGGTGCTTAAAATGTCGTTTAGTTTATGAAGGTCCTTGTACAGAATCTCCCAGTAGCCTAGTTTTTGCTCATCTTTTTCAAAGGGGACTTAAAAAATAACAACTACTTATAACGCCAATGAAGCCGAGAAGGTGCAAAGAAATAAAAGATGTTTTAATTATCTACTCAACTAAGTATTAAACCTTGCGGGTCATAAAAAGAGTTATCTTTATTAAAGCCAGTTAAAAAACTATTAAACAATAAAGTTTGAATTCTTTTTTATACAAAAAAAAGAGTAAAATAAAATTTAAAGGCGTCTTATTATCACTTTCATAGCTATGCTAAATATCAATATATAAACTAATTAAGTCGATATAAAATCGGATTAGCTTATTTTAATAATAAAAATAAGTTATATAGAAAATTTTTTCTTTTATTAAAAGATGCACTACTTTTCTTCGGTACTCCTAATTATCGTTGTAAAAATATAACAGGTAGATCCATATTATTGGTAAAAATTAAAGCTTAGCCGTAATATAAGCTAGATAAAAAGTTTTTATAAACAGATTGGCGTACCGGAGATTAACTATAACACGATAACGATTAAAAAATTGGCAAGAAAAGTTTTTATCAAAGGACATACAAATGATTTAATCTGTAAAGGATTCGAAAAGATATTGTCATAAAGTTCAAGTAAACCATATTTTTAATAAATTCGTTGTTACAAAAATAAACCTTCTTTTACGCTAAGAACGAGAAATGTTAAACTTTTAAAATAAGCCCACAATGAATTCATATAAAAAAAAATTAAAAAAATTTATAATATAAATTTTTTTTGAAGCGAACTTAGTAAATTTTAAAAATATGAACTATATAAAAAAAGGGTTACTATAACTATATTGCTTATATAGATGAGTTGAGAAATATACATTAAAGCTTCAGCTCTAATAATTTATTTATTAATGATAGTTTCTGGTGCTCGGTCGAGTTAGATACTTTTGAATACTCGGGCTCCCACTCAGGAGTGATTTGCAGTTACATTTCAAATAGAATTCAGGGTGTCATTATTTTTTATATTAACCTAAAAAAACTAGAGCTTAAGCGCGTGTCCCATGGCCCGTAAATAAGTTCGCTCACCAGCAGGCGATTAGTGAACCTGCTGAGCCTTTCGTAGAGAGTTACGGCATGGCGTTAGAGGCAATGTTTCAAAGGTCCAGCTGAAGGCCCCGGTGAAAAGCATCATTTCGCACAAACCATGGTGCCTTTGTAAGAACACGCAGCAAGTTGTTCTGTCGCACTGGAGGTGCCGACGCTAGGGCAGTGGAGTTGTAGGTCAAGCAGCAGATGCATATGTCATTGCTGGTTGGATGTAAAAACAAATACAATTGCCGTTTGTTTCGCAGAGAAAGCTTACTCTTGCCGCAAAGTAAAGAATAAAGCGCCTTGGTTGCTGTCTTGACCTTCGCCACTACATAGTCCACGTGAGAAAGCCAGGAAATTTTGTTGTCGATGATGATTCCCAAGTATTTCGCTTGAGAACACCATGGAAACTTCATGCCATTAAAAGTTATGGGTACCAACAATGGAACGCGTTTCTTTGAAATTAATATATCTTTACTCTATCGCAGTTAAAGTAACCTTCCAATCTTATACGTGATTTTGAAGACCTTAAGTATTTAAAAAATGGGTCTCAAAATCAAAAAGAGTGCCTATACCTATTAAATAAGATATACAAAAGTTTAAGTAAAGTAGCATAGGTATAAGCACTAACCAAAGTAAACATTTTTATAAATTATTATTTTTATTTTAATTTTAAATTATAAAACAAATAGATAAAATCCAAAGATAGTAATTCAAATAAAATCACGGCATCAGACAGCAAGAGTGTCAAGATAGCGCTGTAGATGCTTGCATAGCAAGGCGGGAGACTTTGAAGAGGAACGTACGGTCCTATCAGCAGCTTAGAGGGCAATTCGTATGTGTAGGTCGGACGGCAAAAGCACGTCACTCATGTAAATTGCAAACAAAAGGGGCGAGAGTAGTGATCCCTGAGGGATCCCTGCTATTAGAGTCTGAAGCAGTGAGCGGGTATCTTCCACGCGCACGCTGAAGACGCGACCATTCAGGTAGGTATGATTTCAGCACGTTGTAAAGGCCATGAGGAACGGATAATGAGCGCAGGTTGTGTAGCAGACCTTCATGTTAAACTTGCTCAAATGCCATTCAACATCAAGGAAGACAGCGCCTGTTGCCTTCTTATGATTAAAAGCGCGAGTGGTCTTTTTCAGTTGAGCAGGGCTGCTGGATCGTTGAGTGCCCTTGCCAAAATCCACACTGAAACTCCGGTAAAGCTCTCCGAGCGTCAACGGCCTCTAAAGACGGCGCAGTAAAGCAGTCCCCACCCACTTTGCCGGCCGCTGACAGTAGGCTGACGGGTCGTTACTTGCTAGAGGCTGATTCCGACGGTTTAAGTGTTTTTGGTAGCATTATCACGATATCCGTCTTCCATCGAATCAGAAAGGAGCCAAGGAGGCGTCAAAGATTTTATAGAGGTAAAGATAGTGCATCCTTCTTAATGGCATTTTCTGCAGCTTCCCATTAGTGATGTTATCGGGGCCAAGAACTTTTTTTTTAGGTAATGCTTCGACAATTGCTTGCACCTCGTTAACAGTAACTAGATTAAGCGGTTTTGTTAACGGGGAGGGGTTAAGCTCAGCTGAAGGAACTCATTATCATTAGGAGTAGAGTGGGCAGCTAGCAAGTTTTGGATAGCAAGAACATGGGCGAAAAGAGTAGCTTTATTTCCATCACTCTCGGTCACTATATTTTCTTCACGAAGGGGAGGTAGTGTTATACAAGTCCCCAATCTTTGAACCTTTTAACAAATTTCCAAAAGGAGAAGCGGTTAATGCTGCCTGTTTCAGATATACAATGCAGTTTGCTCTTCCATTTGTTAAAATGGGTCATTATCTTTTTTCTAATAGACCTGTGAAGTCGATTATGCGCAAGTTTGTCTTCGGCGCTCTGCGACAAATATGGCTACTCGAATGAAGACGTCGACGTTTACGAAAGACTGCCTTTAGTTCGTCAGACATGCGGTCGGAGCGGTATGTTACTTAGTTGTCGTGGCAGTAGTGGGAGCCACGTCCCTTGCGGTTTCCAAAAGGGCGACAGCATCATCCAGCAGGGCGAAGGTGGACGGTAGTGATGTACGCGGAGCTCTAATAAATAAAACTATGCAACTTTTTTAATAACCCAATACGCAGGCTTTATATCTTAGCTATCAAAATATTTTTTTTAACTTTTATTATTCCCACTTTCTATAAACGTAAATTTAAAATTATTTTTTGAAAAATTCAGTTAGTGCATTTTAGTGGAGCTCCTTTTTTTTAAAAAAAATTAATTAGTTTGTTTTATTAAATGTTGATGTGTTCACAACTGTAAAACAATTTAATAAATCTGTTTTAGTGCCTCTTTATATACAGTTCTTCTAGATTAGGAGCTACAGTTTTTGAAATTGTACGAAATAATATCCCCACTTAATATTCGTTTTAATGAATAAGTGTACTATGTTAAAACAAATTTAAGCCTCAATTGGATTTTCTATTTTTAACACTAAATTAAAAGTAATAATAATAATAAAAAAAGCAAATAAAACAAACTAACAAAATTGTTAGGAATATTTAATGGCCATAAAATAACGAACACATTTCCGAATTTTTTTAGGAGGACCGAAGAGTATAGTAAAAGGCAAGTTGTATAAGATTATACACCTTGACAATGAGTTATTATGCGAATTAGTTTATAGAAGTATTCCTTTTTCGAAAGCTTATAAAAAGAAAACTATATTATTACTTTACTTAACATTTTACATAAAAATAATGTTATAATGATATTTAAAAATTTAATTTGGGACGTAAAGTTTTTTAAGTTTTGGCAGAAAACTTATTTAAAACTTGAGTTTAAACTGTTAATATTGTGTTTAACTAATTATTATATTTTAATAATGTTTCTTAAGAAAAATTCAGTATATAAGTAAGCATTATTAATATAGTGTTTTGTAGCCACACTATTTGTGAATAATTAACACCTCGCCTTAAACTTTATATAAGTTAAAGCATAGTATAAAGATTTAATAAGTTCCCAATAAAATTATATATAATAGAAGAAACTTCCACACAAAAAAGAAATATGTCAAAAAAATGATAAGGTATTGAAAATATAGCGAGTAGGAGAGCTTCAACGAAAAAATTTTATAACAGTAACTTTATAAAAAACATAAATTTAAAAAATAAGCGATATAATTTCATCATTCTTAAAATATACGATATTTTGAAAATAAAAACGATTTTTACTAAAACTTATTAGTTGAAATACTACAAAATTTATGTTTTAAAACTTCCTTGAATTGAGAAATAGACTACGTCGTACTTGCAAGGGGCTGAACTTGACACGCTTTGTTAATTTTAGTGTACTGAATACTGAGCTCTTAACCAAATACTACTGCCGCTATAACTGAGATGAAAAATTAATAAAAGTATATGTAGTTTGCGTACATATTATATAAATTTCTTAAATTAATGTCTTTTCAAGAATATCAGGAATACTATTATGGTTTTGGTTTTAATGCTCATTCCCAACTTATCCCAGAAGCTCACCCTGACTACTCAATTACAATAGATTCTTTAATAAAACTACCCGTAGAAGTGACCGTAAAAGAAGCTAAATGGAATAGGGATAAAGAAATTACTACTAATACTGCTAATAAGTGTAGTAATAATAATAGTAATTACAATAACATTAGTAGTAATAAAAATATTGCAAATGTGTTGCAGCCTTCATTTACTTGGGATGGAACCTGGTTTTTCGCTAGCAGGGTGGGTCATGTTGATAAATTTAAAAACAATGAAGAGAATGGAAGTGTAACTATAAACTCTCCCGTATCCCTATCATATTGTCTGAATTTTGTAGGTGTTTGTAACTTAAACGCCATTAAAGATCCCTCTTGTGTGAAAAACTTTAAGGAATTCAGTATTTCTAATTTTTGTATATTTGATTCGCATTTTGATATTACAGACATCTTGAATTGTTGTCAAAAAAAGGAACGCGACTTGAAATATTGCACAGAAAAAATAAAATCTTTTCACCGCTGTATACTTCTAAACTTCGAGCACTGCGCCAACGTCATTTACTTATTTATAAAAGTTGCCAACGTTCTTAAAAACAGTACAGTTGGAACTAATAAAATTTGTAAGTTTTGTAAGTTACATAAGGAAAACTCTTTCCAGATTAGCACTTTTGGTAAATTTAAATTTTCGGAACCCATTACATCTATAGCCTCTAAAGACAAAGAAACTATCTTAATCCTTTTAAAAAGTGGTAAAGTCTTTAAGCTATACTTAGAAAACAGTAACGGTAAGAAAGAATATTCTCAACTTTCTACTTCTGAAGATTCTGGAACCCGTATTTACCTTGACATTTGTTGTGAATTGTGCAAGTATAAAGAAAAAAACGGTTTAGAAAAAAATATTTTCACGCAAGTTTACTTTAAACAGCTGCACTTCGCCTTGAGTTCAACATTAACATACTTGCCTCCCCCTTGTATAACTAAAATCCGCTGTGGTCTTCTACACGGTGTTTGTTTGGACGATCAAGGCAGATTATGGAGCTTTGGTGCAAATAACTTTGGTCAATTGGGAAGAGGACTCCCTATTAATACGGAGTTTGAAGAAGAGCCAAAAGTATGCTTCCATTGTATATTTATGTTTCATTTTGTTTAAAAATAACATATTATAAGAAATAATACTTAAAAGATTTATGTCAGCCTGTGATGAATTTTTTTTTAATACTACTGGTGCTTCCAGCTTTATTTTTTTACTATAGTGTCTCTATAAATTTTTTACTTTAAACATTATATCGCTTCCAATACTAATAATTTACTTTTACACATCTTTCTATATTTCCAACAATAGACCTTAATGGTATCATTTACAAAATGATAGATAATAAAAGCGTTAGATGGGCTTCAAGTGGTCGATGTGGACTGTGGCTATTGGCACGTGGTAGCTGTGACCTCCTTTGGGGATATTTACACGTGGGGCTGGAACAATTTCTCTCAGCTTGGGAGGCTCACAGCTGAACTCGAGTCCACTTGCCATTTACCACATTTTATTGAGTCCGACGTGGAGGCTTGCAAAGTTAGCTGCGGATCCTCTCATTCCGTAGTGATAGATGAGAAAGGACACTTGTATGGATGGGGCTGGTCCAAGTATGGCCAGCTGGGCAAACTTTCCGGAGAGCCAGGCGTTAATTTCCCACAGCGCATCGAGTGTTCAGGTCTTGAGCGCAACAAGGCTATTAATGTTTTTTGTGGCCCGTGGAGTACCTTGGTTCAATTGTATTAATAAACTGTTTTTTATACTTTTTTTTATAATAAAAAAGAAAGCTAATAAAAATATTGTTTCATTGTTTTTTTAAACCTGTTTGCTTTTATTTACATATAAAACTTTATCTCATAGTTACATTTAGCTTTTATTTATATTCGATGGTTCATGTACAACTCGGCGAGGGCGAAGAGTCGGTGAGAGAGATTTTAGGCTTATTTTTTTTATATTTGTAATATTGGAAGAGCTTTCATTGTATAAGTTAAGTGTCTTGCCAAAAGTTTTTTTAAATTTAGAGCTGTCTTCCTTATTAGCATTAGTGAGGACACCAAAAACTGAGCGCTGCTGATTTTGACTTCTTTTTCCCAAATCTATTAAAATACCGATAGTAAAGTTATTAATAAACAATAAGAAACAGTGTACTTTTAGATTTTTGATAGTCCGCATTTATTACATTTTCCTTGTTAACGACGTATAAAGGGCTGTTCAAAGGTTTATTTAAATTTAAAGTTTCATTTAGTGGCAAGTTTTTCACATTCCTTGAGTTGGCTTTAAAACAATTTTTAAAATCGTTATTAGAAAATTGTGTTCTTTCAATTCTATTATCAAGTAACAGTCCTTTGTGATTATCTAATTGACCTTGAGTAATAACTTTCTTTGTATCTTTGTTTAACATACTCTTCAGATCGGTTAAAGTATTTACCATGTGATACTTTTCGGATATATTGGTAGGCAGCTTTAAATCTGAGGCAAAATTTTGGGAAGTTTTTAATTCTTCAGAAAGATTTCTTTTGCGTAAGTCGGAAAAAACTTCTTTTTCTCTTGAGTTAGACATCCTTCCAAAAAACTTTTTAAATTTGCCCTTAGACATTTTGTGGAACGGTAGTTCACTTTCCTTTAAAGATTTCTTCGATATTGGACAATTCATTTGCCGGATTATTTGGAAATCACTTTTTTTATCAAGAGTTAAACAAGAAAGGTTAAAGATTTTATTTTCAGCACTTAAAATAATATCATTATTGTCATCACTTATATAAGAGGTATTATAATTATTATGAGTAGTAAAATTGACTTTAGATTCTGAAAAACTGAAGAAACTAGGGTTATTATCGTCACACTTAACAACTCTCTTATCCACGCTATTGTTCAAATTTATAATGTAATCTTGCTGTGTAAAATTTAATGTGTTGGAACTTTTTATAACAGGAGCGGTTGCTGAAAGTAATAAGTCCTTCTCTAGTACGTGCGCATTTATATATCTTGGTAAAGCAGTTGACTTGCGTGTGAAGTTATCCCAAGCTTCTCTATTGGCAACAATAGCAGATAAGGCCGCAGACTTATTAGTAAAATGGCTTTCTTTTTTTATAGTTTTATTATTGGAATTAAGACTCAGAGATGATGTGGAAGTATTTTCTAAGAGAGTGATATCTTCTTTACGCAACTTTAAAAGGGTTTCTCGTAAATTAGGTTCCGGTTGTTCAAGACTTGGATGGCAGCGAAAAAACCACTCATCATTAACACTTTCCTCATAACAAATATATAAATTAAAAGATATTAATTAAAAAAAAATATTATTACTATACTCTAATAAAGGAGCAGCTAGATTCGCGTACTTGGGAGCGTCATACTCATATTCCAGATCTTGATAACCTTCTTCCATTTTAGTTACATATTATATGTTAAATAGATAAAAAAAAAATAACAATTTTATATGATAAAAGTCTATCTAAGAACTGAACGAGCTAACATCAAACTGAGCCAAGCTAAAGAGGTACGCGTTTTAAGTCTTGCGTAGCTGAGTTAAGAGTAGAAAACCCATAAACTAAATTGAGACAGCACAATTTCAGAGACCAATTAAATTGCAAGACAAATATTAAATCTTAACCGGCTTGAGTTTGGCGGGAACGATTCCCATTTGGACCTCTCTTCTTGCGTAGGACGGGGGAGAGACACTTAGTGGGGATTTACTTGGTACTATGTCCGACTAATTTTGTTACAGTAAGAGTATACCCAAGATTCTAGAAGATTAAGTCGGGTTATCTACAGAAAATAAACAATTTTTTAACGCTACAGGTGCATCCAGGATCTAGCTTCTTGGTGGAATTAAAGCAGCACTTAATCTAAAGACGTTTAAAATTTGACACCCTCCAGCAAAGCTTTCTGGCGGCATTAATAGTTCTTTAAAAAAAGCTTAGATATCAATGAGAGCTTTTGCTGAATAACGTACTCTTATTCCCGCTTAACTTATGAGCAATAAACCTTAGACTTTGTAACGAGTACCTAGCTCGCAATTAGTATAAATTTTATAAATACTACTATGTGATAATAGTTTAATCTATTGTTATGCTTGGTCTCTTAATTATAATATTGCTACTCTACTCAAGCCGCTTTAAATAAGAAAATGACTTTTATTAAGTGAATCAGCTAAAGTTTGCTATATAATTCTCTTTTAGAGAGTCGAATATACTGAATAAAATAAGCAACTTAAAAGGATTTTAATTATTTACCCCTTTAACTTCTACCTCTTTGATAACTTTCAAGGGCATAAGTCTAACCGATTGCGTTTTACGTTAGCGATTGTACAAATGCCTTTTTAAAGGAGTGTAAAGGCATATACCCCATAAGCAAGCTTCTAGAGTTGTGCTTTCACCTAAATCGCAATTAATACTGTTTGTCCTTTTAGAATTTTCTTTAAAAACAAAAAATAATGAGATAAAAAAGGATATTATATGCAATAAAAAAAGGATGGCATTGATAAGTTTGTCGAACGTCAGTTGATCTAGCATTCATTCTCCTTAAATTTTGCCGAGATGTTGTGTCTCACCCTTTCTACTCTAATTCAAATATATTAGCGATTTTATCGCAATTTTAACGAGCATATGATTTAACTAAAAAAATTGATTTATTTTACTGAGTCAATTGTAAGCGTGTAATAGTGGAATAAAATCTGCTAATATTTTTTACCATAACTACTCGCTATAAAGTTCTAGTGTTATGCTTCCCCTAATTCTAGTGTCACACATCTTTAAAAAGGTTATAGTCAGAGAACTAAAGCAATTAACATTGTTTTTAAGTGTAAATTCCTCAATTATTACCTCATTTAAATTTAAGATTTATGTAAGTATTGAAAATAATAATTAATCAAAAAAAAATTGGTTTATTTGCTTACGAAAAGTTTTTATAGAAAATATAGTAAAAATGTCTTCATACGTTATAGGTCTTATTAAAATAAAATCGCATGAAATGTATTCACATAAAGACTTGGTCGTGCTAGACACGCTTTCAACCACGCCGACAAGAAATGGTCTTCTTTTAATACCTTTTAAAGTTTTAGCAAAGTCCCTAAATAAGTAATTAATATAATATTACGCAGCACTTATACTTTAAAAGCTTTTATAGTAATTTATATAAATTAGAATATTCCATTTTTAATTTCGTTAACTTTTTTAAAAAAAAATTAAGTTGATTTACTTAAAGTATAAACTTCAAAGCATTACCTTAACAGCTGCTTGTCAAAGGCAAACAACCAGTTTATGTCCAAAAACAAAACATCAAAAACATCCAGAAATATAGAGTTCAAATCTAATTTAAGTAGAATCGCCTTGACAAAAATTTTTCGCTCTAAAAAAATTGTTATAATTAATATCATATAGTTAAAAAAATAGTTACCAGTCCTTTCGAAATGTTTTATTAATTTTCTTAAGCAGTTATCTTTTTTAACAGCCACTAGTACAGTGACCCTAGAAAGGTTCTCTGTTAATATAATAGTAACCATTAGAAAATAATAAAACCAGTATATATTAACTTTTTAAAAATTAAAGACTTATGACAAAAAGAATTTAAAGAAAATACAATTATGATCTCAAATAAAATTAAGTTAGTTGACATTAACAATGCTTAATAACGCCACAATAGGCAAAAGGCCCGTGTCCACCTGGAGATACCGGCCAACACCACGGCCAGTTAGGCCTCATCGATTATGAACTCCTCACTCGGAAGGGAAGTCTTTTGAAAGGGCAATAATTAAAATAGCGAAAACCTATTTATTTTTTGCACTGACGCCGTATATCTTTTTATATATAGATGCTGCCTTCACAGGAGAACCATTTTTTATTATAAATTTGGTCAACAGTGAGTAAACCTTTACTGACTGGGCCATTTTTATAAAAGCAGGGACTTTGATTACATTAACTTAGTGCACTATCCATTTATAATGATATATTTCTTTGAATAGATCTCGTCTTCAAAGAAGATTTTATTATATTTTAAATTTGGCTGATAGTGAGTAAACCTTTACCGACTTTATAAATACTATTTGAGACTTTAAATATACCGTTACTAGCCGAGATATTAATTATGCACAACTCATATTTTAAAATTGCTTTTATCTACGTTTATATCGAATTTGTATGATGTTGACTAAAAAATTTTGTTTTTTCCAATGAACACATGACAAAAATTACCAGCTGACAACCATTATAAAATTTAAATTATACTATGTTATAGTAAAAAGTCTATTAGTCAAAGATAAACATGTGATTGGAAAAAAGAATAATTCACTTACTTAAATTTACTCCTTTTGAACAGTTTTCCCGCTGTGGGGGGTCATCAGCATTAAAAGATCTATTGAAAGAGTCTACAAGTTTTTCATAATTTTAATGACAATTTATAACTTATTATGGTTGCTCTCTTTTCTAGCATTTTTCAAAAGAAAAGTTCGGATTAACGAAAGAATACGAGACATAAAGGTTAATTCGTCCTAAACGACGATATAAATACATTTAATATCAGCTACAGATAAACATATTAACCTCCCCCCCTCCCACCCTTTTGAAAACTCTACTTACTTTCTGACTAAAGCCGAAATGAATAAATTTGACAGGGCTCCGCTTTTTACATACAGTTAATAAGTTAAAGAATTAATTAAGGAATGGACAACTCTTAAGAAAAACAAGCAAAGGTTTAAAAAGTACAATGATTTCTATAATTCTATTTAATTAAAAGCCCTGTAGGAAAGGAAGGCACGCTACGAAAGCGTCCCCACTTACACACACAGAAAGGATGCCTACCTATCTCCCCATGAAACCGTTGAAGATCTTTAGAGCTGGAAATCTTATATACTAATTGTCTGCCCCTACCATACAATACTTTAACTTTTTGTAAAGATTATCTTATAACCAGTACCCTATTGCTCGAGATTCACTATAGATTTTTTTATCAGTAAACTTATCAGATAGCCTTTCAGTACAAAGAGTTTTTATATAACTTGAAAGAGGAGGACGGTTTGTCGCACCTGCACCACAGTGGTCAACGAGAAAAGCAGAATTTAATATTTGGAATGCGATTACAGTTATCTTTTATAATAGGCACAACAACTTAGCTCAGAAATTATAAATACATTTACAATAATAACTCTTAACACCAAAAAACTTTGAAATGCTCAGAAAGTATACATTTTTAAAGTAAATAAAATGACTCGTATTGGTAATAAAATCCTTTTACCCTAGCAAAAGTAAAAAAAATCCCCGTGTCTATAAATTTTTAAAAAAAAATATTTACATGATTAATCTTTTACATAAAGTGCATCTATTTACTCTTCATAATAATTTTTCAGTATTACAACTTAGCACTAACTACTAAAATGTTGACGGTCCGTAGGAAATATACAAGTGGTTAATAATATTGCCTTCTATATTGTTTTTCTCTCAACGCAAACGCTACTTTAAACTTTAAAGAACAAAGAAAGACAACATATTACAATTACTTTATAACTTGTATACTACCTTCTTATTTTCGATAATTCATATTTTCCAAATATAATGACCATGTATTAATTTATAGTATTGCAAGAACACTAGACTCCTCTTAGAGTTATCTAAACGAAAAATGCTGCCCTGTTTTGTTTGTATAATCTAAGCTTAACTCTACGACTTCAAGAATAAGTTAATACAAATTTTATTTTGGCAAGCACCTAAAGGTGTACTTTAAAGCTTTTTCCATTTTGGCCTAGTACGACTAAAGCTAAAAAGGGTAAAAATAAATGTTGTAAGTTAAAAAAATCATAACCACTACTTAGAAAACCGATGTTCGTAAAAGTAAGGACTGAAAAGGAATGTGAGCCAGAATGTCAACATGCATACGAAACGTATCTAGTATCTGTGACTATGTGTATGCCCAAGGCAAAGCTCTCTCGGGTGTAGCGCAAAGAAATTTAATAAGGGTAATGTTTCTGCCTATTTTTAGTTAAAAGGTACTTTTATTTAAACGAAAAAATACGGCTTAAAAGTAAAAAAATTCTTTCAGGACATAAGCAACTACTAATGTTCACCGTAGAAGTAAGATTTTAATAACTTTTGAATAGTATAACTATAATTATAAACTATTACTGTGCGGAAAATTAAAAAATGATATCTAAGATGGTATGCATTGCTATTGAACCGCTTACAAAAGGTAGTAGTTAACCAAAGTGTCTTTTTAAACTCTATTAAACAATTATTTAAATGTAAATATTTTTTAATCACAAGCATTTTAAAGCTACTTTTAAGGTTATTTATTGTTAAAAAGAAAAAGATGCACACAAAGCGTTGTATAACAAAATAGATACAATAGAGAATAGATGGGTGCATATTTTACTAAATCGCGTGCCATAGAAATTTACATCAGTTGCCACTTGTTATTAAAGCGCTTTTGGAGATCAACGGACTTTATAAAAAACAGAATATATTAGAACGCTACTCGGTTTTGCAGGGCTGATAACTTTGGTATGAGGTCTACAGTGGGACATATAATATTTTTTAATGGCAATTCCTTCGATTGATGTTCTAATGTTGATAAAAGCAACTACAAAAATCTACATGCGAAGCCGAATACATAGCCCTTAGCAAGGAGATTACGGATACCATTGCTATGGAAAATTTAATGTTAGAACTTTTATATGAGAAATATAATAGCACAATTTTACATGGACAATGAGGATGTTGAAAATATTATGACTGGTGTTGCCTCAAATGGAAGACTGCGGTATGTGAATATTGCTTACCCCTACGTCCTTCAAGAATTATAAAGAGAGAGTTAACTTGTAAGACATGTAATGGCCAAAGAAATGGAGCAACTATTTTTACCTAAACTTTATCCTTTAAAAAGCATATATCTTGGATTGATATTATATATTTAATAAGACATAATATATAAGGTTGATAACATGGAGGTATAACAGGTTAACTACGTAAAACCACGTACCAAGGCTTTGAGTACGCGCGACAATGCTCTTAACCGCTGAGCTGCGACAAAAATCCTCGATCCGGTATGAGATGATTTTATATATTGACCTGTTACATACAGCTACCAACAAACATTCTATTTATTAGCCCTTTTACTAACACTAATATATACGTTTTTTTTTCATAAACTATGGGTGGGTTTTTTAATACAGTTTAAAAGGATATTTATTTTTATAAAGTTACAAAGTTTTCAAGGATTTTGCTTAATAAAAGTGATATGCCTATAGACCTTTAAAGAAAATTTACATAAAGACTTACAACCCAGTTGCTGCGCATAAGTCGGGTACGTTTATACCCATTTAAGCCTAATTTAAAAAATGTATATCTACAGTGTTTTAGGTTAACGGATTAAAACATGGCCTTTATCTAAACCTTTCCGGTCGATTTCTAAGTTAACGAAAATCTTAGTTTAATTAGAAAAAAATAATAATTATAACTTGATAAGCACAGTTGGTAGGTAAACTTAGATGTTTAAAAGAACAGAACCTTGACAATCAAAAAAAAAAAGTATATAAAAAAAAGTTTGTAAACACTATAAAATATTGAAACAATTTTTCGTAGCTTTAATATAAATCACTGTAGGGAACATATGGAAGTAAAGGAGATATAATTTACAGACAGCTTTAAATATTTATGTATGAAGCCATTGGTTAACAGTAGTTAAGTAAAATTAACACTTAAGAGATAATTTAAAATAAAGAAAAACATGTAAGGTTCAACTTGAAGTTAACAACTAAAAAAATATAGGAGAATTCTAAAAATTTGGGCTTATATTTGAGAATAACTTTAAAGAAAATAGTTACGAGCGCTCACAGTTAATAAAAGAGCAATAAATGCCCCGATAAATTATAAGGTTTTATTTTTATTTATAGAAAAAAATATGAACACCATTTAAAGCTCATTATAAATGCACTCGTTAGGTTACTTAAAATTAGCAATTTTTTAATGGGATGTTAAAAATATAAACTGTGTAAGTATCAAGAGCAAAGATGAGGTGCTTACTTTGTACCATGCAATCATCTATTAATTAACACAAAAACTACTTCAAAATATTTTTATTTAAACACGTATTAATAAAGTTGTTTAAATAAATAATTACAACTAGTTTTAAAATATTTAATAAATAAAATTTTGTGTACTTACTGTTTCCATTCTAAAAAGGTAACTATTTTAAGATGTTTTCAGTTTTTGTGAATGTCTAGAAATTTAAGATTTGCACTACCTAAATTTAAATTTATCTGTATTGTTATGTATACATACTATATAAAGCGAAGGTAGAAAATGAAATAATTAACAAGAAAATAAGGAAATAGAACGCAAACTTAGCTCGTAACTATTAACATATTAATACCTTTCAGTTAAAAAGATTATTACCACTACTTCTAGAAAGTAAACGTATTCTATAATTTAGTAGACTTTTTGTAACTAAAGTAATCTATATAAGCTAAAAATTATAGTTGTTAATAATTAGGAGCCAAAATTGCTTTCTATATTCTGTTAGTTTTGTTAAAGATGCCAACAATGAGTTAAAATTCCCGACGCTTTATTTGTCCTATCAAAAACCTACAATTTTATATATATTAAAAAATTATTTTGATAATGTAATAATTTAAAAAAAATAAAAACAGAGACTTGGCAGAAGTTATCGCGGGTCATAATAACAACCTTTAACTTAATAAAACTAAATTAAGAAGTATTACTAAAGTTAGTTACCTCTCTCCATATCTAAAATTTCGGATACTGTCTTCCAATGAGCTTCCTTATTTTTGGGATTAATTTAATTAAAATTTTTTTAACGAATTAATTTTTCTCATCCAATAACCTGGCTTGCTGTGACCATTCGATATTTGGCATTTTTAATTTTTTTTGTTTTGTATGGACTTAAGTTATTATCATACCTTAATGTTATGTAGTTGTTAATAGTGTTCATTAGTTGTCTAAGGAAGTGTTGATATTTCTGATGAGATAACTTCTTAGTATTACATCTGCGATGTTGTTAGAGGACGGGGTAAATAAAACAGTATGAGTTTTTCAGTTCTTTAGCTTAGTGGTAGGCTACATCCCACGTGCCTTAGTCTCTTGTTAGGAGCATCAACTTTATGTTGCACACTGGTTTGTTGTTGAGGTTATATTTCCTTTAGGATGTTTTCTAGTGCTTTAACTTCTGCGATGCTCTTGCTCAGTGCTACGTTTTCAGATTCGCACGTACTTGTGTAGTTTGCATCTGTCGACATTAGATTTCCATAAAACTAAGTTTTAATTGATCGTAATGATAAATCCCATGGGAATGCGTATATCGTGTTTCACCCCATGAAGTATCCGAATAGTATCTTATTTCCAAAGGGTTGTGGTTATTATTTCCTTTTTTGTTTATTAGGGTGAGGATAAGAGATTGCTTAAAGATTAAAAAAAACTAATCCTTTTGCAGAAGTTTTAAGGCCTTTTCGTAAAACTTCCCACGCGGCCAAAAAATAATAAAAAAAGCTAACTCAACGTTGATGAACGTCAAAAGTATAAGAAAACAGTACCCACTTACAGGATTCAAAAATTAATAACTCCAACTTAATTATAAACAATAAAAATTTATAAAGCACAAACTTTTTTAATTTTATTTTTAACTGATAAAATGATCTTGCAAATTTGTTATATAAAAGTTTCATACTAAATCTCCTATTAAACTTTTAAACCTATAAAAATAATAAAAAGAAAGAGTGTAAAAACTTTGAATAGTAATCTATTATACTTTTTAAAATGGTAAATAAATCACAATACTTGAGTAATTAATGATTTCTCTTTAATTGGTGCTACTTTCAACTTTACTTTAATCACCCCTACGCTAATTTAAATTTAATTAAACGACCGCAATCCTATCATCTATTAAAATTAAACAAGGAAAATTCTGTATAACAATTTCTTGTGGACGCTCCAAACAGACACTAGCTTTTATTAAAGAAGACCTCCTTAGAACATTAATTATACATTAATGCATATTATAGAAATTTAGTGAATTTTTTCAGAATTTTCTAACTTTTGACTTTAATTAGTACTATACTTTTTTACTTTTTTTAATTAATACGATGGTAATCCTGTACTTTTTCTGTTATATAAATTAATATAGCTAGTTAATATACGAAAAAGGAGAAATTGTACGTAGCTCTTTTGTTAAGATCTTAAAACTTTTAAGATAAATAAAAGCACAGTATTTTGTAAATGGTAACTTCTTTCTTGATTTTGTTACTTTTGACTTTACATAAATTAATACAACACTAATTTAATCTTAAATAATAAAACGGCAATCCTATACTTTTCCCATTATACATAAATATAACTTAATAAATCAAGAATTAAGAAATTGTATTTAAAATATTTTTGTTAAGTCAAATAAAAAATATAATTCGCACTTTTTATATATAAAAGTAAAAAATGAAAATAGAGAAAAATTAATTTATTATGAGAATTTGGCTTTAGAAAAATCCATTTCGGGATGAGCCTTCATAAAGTTTTTAAGAAGTTCTTGCTTTTTCTGTTCCTCTGACGTGGGCAAGCCTAAAAAAGTTTTATAAAAAATAAACTAAGAAAATTATATAAAAAAACTAAATTTTTATACTAAACAGAATCTTGAAAATTTTAATAAAGCAATTAAATTAATTAAAAAATTAAATTTTATTATATAACAAGTAAAAATATCTTTAAACAATTTACTTAGGAAAAGTTAATTATCCTGTGGGAAATTAATTTTCTATAAAAAGTAATACTAAAAAAACTCTCAAACTATTTAAATTTATTATATATTAAATAATTTAATTTTTTTTTTTTGATGCTTAATTATAATTTTTGAATTTGTAAAAAGTTGACTACAATTTATATTTTTTTACACAGAACAAAATCTATAATTATAATATTCCTACAAAAAATAAATAATTCAATTAAAAATTTAAAATTCTTTTTTAAATTATAAAACTAAAAAAAAAATAACTAAAATAAAATTTCTAATTGTTAATAAAAAAATCCCGAACCCATTTCCTTCTGCCGCTGATCGTACATCATTTTCTCAACGAGGCCACGTGTTTCTCCGTCCAGATCGGATAGTTTCGAGTTTTCAGGTTGAATCTTGCGCGTGTCGATTTCCTGCTCGCCTTCCAGCAAGCGCGGCCACCAACTCATACTATTAATCTGCTTTAAAAAACAGATCAAATCTGAAATTAAATTATCATAAACATTTTTAAGATTTTAATTTCTTTTGAAATCAAAATAATCGATCTGAATTTAAAAATATGGATTTTTAATAAAATTAAATTTCCTTTAGAATGAAAATAATCAATTCTGAAATTAAATTATTGAAAACTTTTAAGGAAAAATCTTCTTTGAAATCAAAGTAATCAATAAAAAAAATTTATTTATAACATTTACTTTTTAGAAGAAAATTACAGTTGAAAATTCCCATAAAAAGTAAATAATCCAATTGTTTAGAATTAATATAATAAAGAAAAGAAATATAAAAAATATAAATTTTTTAGTTAACACAATACAGTTTATTATTAATAAACTTTTCGCCAAATAAAATTATTAGATGCAACAACACAATAAGGATAATCATTATTTATAAAAATATTTATACAGCAAACTTATATTGAAATTCATTAAATTATTAACAAAAGAAAAATAATATTAAAAAATTTATTACAAGATAAATACAAAAATAATAAACAAATTTATATTAAAAAATATAAACATATGTTATTAATAAAATTTATTTGCTAAAGTAAAAATAATAAAATCTAGAATCAAAATTATAAAAAATCTTTTTTTAATGAAATTAAAATCTAAAATTACTTTTTAATAGTAACAAATGAAAGATTTTTAAGAAAAATTGAATTAAAGATGGGAATAGAATAAAAACGAATCTAATTTTATTTAATAGATTATTAAGTAAATTTGCTATTTAATAATAAGAAATAAAATAATTTTATTTCTTAACTTTAAAGATGACCACTTCGAAAATAATTATAAGATGCGCATCAACAAAAAAATGTTTATTTTATGAATTTATAACTAAATTTATTTTTTAATAATAGTAAAAAAAATAACTTTAGAAATAAAGTTTAAGATGAACCTTCAAAATTTATATATAAAACAAATATAAGAAGAGCATTAAAAATTAAAATTATAGTAATAAAATATAAATTATAAACGAGCATTAAAATAATTTTATAAAAAGTTTAATAGAAATTAATTAAAACAATAAAATAAATTTCCTAACAATTTACGAAAAATAAATTTATTTAAGAAAATAATTTTAAATTTTTTTAAAAAAATTTGTATTTATATTTAATTGAAAAGTTAACAGAAGTAAAAAAAATTAATTAAAACTTAAAACTAAAAAAAAACCTTTAAAAATGTTTTTTTTAAATATTTAATTATTTCGAAAAAGTAATAAAAAATAAATTTATGCATTTAAATGGATCAAAATTAAATATATAATTTAAATTTTTTTTTAAAAATTCAATAAATAAAAAGTAGAAATTTATAAATTATATGTTTGAATTGTTTTATAAAACAAAAATTTTATTAAAAAATTAATAAAAAACTAAAAAAATTTATAAAATTTTCTAAATATAAAAAAAAATTATATTTTTTTAAATAATTTATAAATTAAATATATAAAAACTTGAATTTGAAGTATTTGATTTTATCTCATTAGAAATTTCTTTAAAAAAAATAATATTTTTGTATTGCTTTAATATTTTTTTAAAAATTCAAAATTATAAGTAAATAAAATTTAAAAATTAAAGAAAATTATTTTTAACGCGATTAAAAAATAGTAAAAAACTTTTAATTGATCCTTTTTTACATTGAAAATGAAAATTATAAAATAAAAAAATATTTTCAATAAATAATTTTCTTAAGAAGAAAATTTAATAAAAACTTTCAATAATCTAAAAATCTTAAGAATAAATTTATAAATTTATATATATAGAAAATATTTTTATAAAACTGATTTATAATTGAATTGTTTTTAAGAAAGTCAAAAACTAATAAAAACCAGAAAGTAATCTTTTCATAATTTCACAAAAAAAATTAAAAAATATTTTTTTCAATATTAATAATTTTCTCTAAATCTTTTTAAATTTTATAAATCAAAATTCAAAATATTTTCTTTAAAAAGTAATAATAAATTAATTTTTTATAATCTTTTTAATTTTAAAATTCATAAATTTTTAAAGGGTAATAAAATTTAAAAATAAACAAATTTATAACTTTCGGAAGAGAAAGCACTACAACATTTCGATCTTCAAGAAGCCAAACACTTTCTTCAGCCTTCACTTCGCCATGCAAAGTCCCACAAACAAAATAATCTTCTCCCTGAATAATTTATAGTAGTAGAAAGTAAATTTACTTTCATAAATAATTCTATTTTTAATATATAGATTTAATTATTACTTATAATTTTCTTTAACATTAAAAAATAATTTTGTCAACTTTCTTTTAATTTATAAAAACTTAAAAAAATAAATTTATAGTTGATAATTCTATGAAATTGTTGTCTACATTTACAAGATCATCTTTTATAAAATTTCAAATTATTTCTTTAAAGGTGTATTAAAAATAAATCTTCGACCTTGAATTAAATTTATAAACTTTTAAATATTAAAAAAAAATGAAAATAAATTATAATTTTCTACAGATCAAAATTTTAATTAAAATTAAAATTTAATTTTTTTAAATAAAAAAAAATTACAAATCAATTTTAAAAATTATATAATCACGAACTGAAAAACCGTCAATCTTTATAAATAAAAAAATTAATAAAAAAAAGTATATTATGAGAATTAACTAGAGTCGAAATAAATTATTATCGACCCAGCGAAAGTAGTAACAGTAATAATAAAAAGAGGCAAAATTCATTAGTTTGTACCAATTCAAAAATTTATTTTATAAATAAGTTTAAGTAGAGGAGGTGTTAGTTTTAGGGAGTGGTTGAACGGATAAGCATCATTAAATTTATCAATCAATTTTGTTTTTTAAAATTAAATTTACTTTTAAAAGTAGAATATAATTAAAATATTCTTTTGTTACTTTTTCTAGATTATATAAAAATTCTCAAGTTTGAAAAATTAAATAAAATTTTATATTTTCAATCTCACCAAACTTTTTTTTAGATTTATTAAAAAATTCCACATTAAAAATTAATTATTTTCGGTAACCATTAAAAAAATTTCAAACCTTAAAATAAATTGAATTTCTAAAAATTTAAATTTTAGTTATAATTTACTTTCTTTTTAACATTAAATTTGGTATCTTTTCCAATTTATTAAATTTTTAAAATAAATTTTTAAAAAATTTTAAAAATTTACAAATAATTTTTAGGTTTTATTAATAAAATCCAATATTTTTTTTAAAAGAAATATTAAATTTAATGTCGAAAATCTTTTTTTTAAAAGTGATGATAAAGTGAATTAAAAACTGTTAAAATTTAAAATTAATAATAAAAATAATTTTTATCAGAATCAAAAAAACTAAAATATAAGAAATAAATTTTAATAATAAATGGAATTTAAAAAATAAATTAAATTTATTAAACTAGAAAATAGAAAAATCTTGAAATAATTATAAAAATAATTTAAATAAAATAAAAACTTTTTAAATTTAATATAAAAATTAACTAAAATAAAATAATAGATTTTAATAATATATATATGAGTTATAAAAAATTAAAAAAAAATTAAAATTAAGCATACTAACAAAATTTATCGACTTATATTAAAAATAATTAAAACCCTTTGAAAATTAATATAAAAGATAACTAAAAATAAATTATAAATATTAATAATAAGAACTGCAAAGGATTATATTAATAAAATTAATACAAAAAAATTAAAAATTGTCGAAAAATTTAATATTAAAAAAATTATTTTAAAAAAAATAAAAACTTAAAAAATTAAATAAAAATTAAAAATAGATTTTTAAATAATTATAAAATACTAAAAAAAATAATGCCCGGAATTTAAAAATTTTCTAAGAATAATTAACAAAATTAAAAATAAGTATTTTAAAAAAAATTAAATTAATTAAAGAAAACCTTTTTCCCAACTTTTAAAAATTTCTTATTAATAACGACCTCCATTTGATTTCCTCTTAAAACTGAGCAACTTTTAAAAGGAATTCGAACTTCTATCTCTTGCAAAGTTTGAGTCCAAACGTACCTGGAAAAAAAAATTAAAAGGAAAAATTCAAAAACATTTAACAATAGTAAAAATAATAAATTAATAATATCAATCCAAATAAATAATTTCAAAAAAGCGCAAAAAAAGAAATAAGAAAAAATTTACAAAAAAAATAAAAGAATTTACTTTTCAGTCTGAGAACCGTTCCCCTTATTGGGTCTGAGCTTGCCTTCTTCAAGATCATCTTCCTTTTCAGCCTCTACAGTTTTATTAATATTTCCGGAAATATTTTCTTTTTCAGAATCAAAATTTTTTTTAATTTCTTCAAAACCGGTTTCATCTGGTAATTCTACAATTTTATCTTTACAAACATCTTTAATTAAAGCATTTTTCTCTACAGAAACTTTCAATTTTTCCTCTTTATTCTTTAATGCATATTTGTTCATATACTTTAACACCATCGACTTGTAATGTTTAGGATCTGCACTGCTGTAGAAATCCGTTTTTCTGCTCAAAAAACCGAATACGGAATCTAAAAAAACTTCTATACCACCTTCTCCTAATTAAAAGTAAAAGTAAAGATTACAAATTAGATTCTAATAACAATAATAATAATAATTATAATATAGTACCCTTCTGAGAGAGTGCTAACAATAAACTATCACTTCGTTCGTCAGCATCCATTGTCAAACTTTTCTTTAAAAAAAAATTCCCAGAACCAACGCTACTGTTTAAAAAAAAAATAAGCTGAGAGACTGCAATCCGTTAAGAAAAGATATCTTCCGCCACGTGTAATTAGGAAGGGATGTTTTTCGGTTCTTGCTGTATAAATTTTATGCTAGGCAATGACTTTTACTCTTGCTAAACATAAGTAATAAAGGTAATATTTTTTTTAATTTAAAAATTTTAACATATTTATTACTTTTAAGAAAAGTAAATACATTCATTATTTATTATATAAAAATTAATATGTTTTACTAACTATGACACTTGTTATTACAATTCTTTAAATCTTTTTTAATTCCTTTCTTACTCCATTTTACGTAGTTTTAACTATAATTTTTTTTTTTAGCATCTATGTTAACTTAGTAACACTGGATTTAAAATAAAGACTATATTACTGATAGTCCGACTGCAGCCACCTGAAGTACCTGATTTTTTTCTAAAGCATATACAATTTTAAATTCGCTTTAGAGGTGACTAAGTATATAAAAAATTAATTAACAGCTAAAAAGGCAAAGCTAAGTTTCTTTATTAAACTATTTCATGGTTATTATTAACTCCAGCAAAGACAGCAGGGCTAACTGATATACAAAACAAGCAAGTCTACCGAAGTAAAGGCTAAGAAAAAAAAAAGGATGCGCCTTTACTAATTTTTCTTTAGTAGCCTTTATATCTTTACCTTCATGCTATTTCTATGGCATTACTTTTTAGAAACTTTATTATTCTATTGCCCCTCATTTAGTTAGTTTTTATATAATATTATTTACTTTAATTTATTTTAACTTGTTTTCTATATAGTTTATAAATTCTACCGGGTACCAAAAACAAAGTTATCAGTTTTTTACGGCTATTTCTGTTTAAATTTGTGCTAAAAATATATTTTTTTAAATAAACAAGTGTTAAGGGTTTTTAGAGATAAGTTATTCTTATATAATTAGCTACTATAAATAGTTTTTAAATTACATTTTTAAAACGGCCATACTTATAATAAAGCAAAAAATAAGGCTAAAAATACTCTCACTTTTTATTTATGTTTCGCTGTTTATAATGTGCTAAAAATAATTTATATATGTTATTATACCATAATTGCTATTGGTAATTGTGTACTTTAGTTCCTTGCCTTACTTCATATTAAGGGTTTTTTTCACATGGTAGAAGTAATATCTTTAAGGAACTTATTGTAAACAGTATTTTTTCATCCTATCAGGGGTAGTTTGGGGACTTAAAAAAACTTGTCTTGACTTGAACTGGAAAAATTTTGCCTTTTAATATTAATTATTATTCGAGATATAAACTTCTCTAAGTCTACAATACCCTCAACTAAATCAATTTTTTTAAACAAAAAAATTACTCAAACAAACAAAAATATACTAGAACCTTTAACAAAATATGAATGTATATGTGGGACGAGATCCTAAGGATAGAAGTAAAGAACTAATGCTTACATGGGAGTACACCAAAATTTATTAATCAATTTAAAAAGAGTTGCTTGCTACCACTAAAAAGCTGTAGGCACTCCTAGTTAAATTTATATTATATAAAACTAAACATTTTATAACGACATATATCGTATAGGTAGGTTAAACCTTTGCTAACTGTTCATAATATTATAAAATATTTAAGAGTTTTTAATTAGATTATGAATGTTTTTTTTCTTGCGCCCTTAAGCTTTAATTTCTTAGTCAAATATATTTTAGTTGCAACCATTGCATTTTTAAATTCTCCAATATATTTGCGTTTAAAGACTTCATGTATAAAGCGTTCTTTTTTTTTTTATTAATAATTTCTAACTTTATTTTTTTTTATTAAGATCCTAATCATAAGTTCGATTCTCGCCTGTGCACAGCTTTGATTTGGTTATGTCTTTCTACTCTTGAGCTAAACTTTAAATTGTATCAACTTCATTTTTGCTTTAATCTCTTACTAGTTTACTTAATTGTTTCTTCTATATATCCATCTTCGACCTATCATAGAATTTAATTATGAACGATTACTATTTTAAAGAACCTTATTACCCTAGAGTTGTATCATTTTGTGCTAAGAGAGCATTACTAAAATATAAATATACTGAACACATGTGGGGCTTGAAAAATTGTTGTATTTTTCTTTTGCCTTTTAAAAATTTACAAATTTACTTTAGCCTAATTTATATTTTAAATGTCCTTATAGATCCTTTTTTTTTGAGATCTTGTCATTCATTTTTGGTTGCAAAGTTTTTATTATTTCGTTCAAGTTGTAATCCATCTTACTTTTCCCCATAGTAAAAACAGCTCACCTCGGTATAGTAAAGGCTCCTTCGTTAAGAAGCCTTGCATCCCACATAACAGTTGTAAAATGAGGATATGCGTTGCACGATTTGAGGTTCAAAAATTTTTTTTAAATGTTTGTTGAATTTTTTATATTTGTAGTTAGTAAGTGCATATAACTTAGTGAGGGATAACTTGTAAATTATGTGTATAAGTGATTCAGTGACGTCGCTCGAGATTTCCTTTCATCTGTTGCGCGCTTGCTTGGTGGTCTGCTTCTTGGTTCGGTAGCGTGGATGGGCTAGTGAAATTAACAAATCCTATATAGTTTTCGTACAGAATTATCTTTATTACACTTCGATCACAGGAGTATGTAGTGACAGCGCATAAAAAACAACATATTTGACAAAGACTTTTTTATTATAAATAAAACTTTCATTTAACAGTTAATTTTAATAAGGAGCGTGCAACATTTTTCTCTCCTTGGATATCATAAGAGGTCAATAAACTAAACTATCTAGCTATTTAATTATTAACTAACTTATTCGTTCCTAGTTTTTATAATCTTTAAATAATTTCGTAGCTATATTACATAAAGTATGTTGAGGATCCTTTATAATTAATCTTTTGATCCAATGTTAAGAAGAAACTCATCCATATTCTACTATATAATTATCAAAGGAGGTGACTAGCTTCGGTGATACTATAAAAGTTTTATTATAAAGTAAACTCTTGCTGATAAAATTAATTCCGTAATTCCGTACAGGTTGGTTGTATTTTTTTGTTTTTAAATTTGCATATACCTTCTATTACAAAGGAGCTATCGTCATATCCTTCTCGGTTGACTTTCAGTTCATGTATTATTAAATACCTTTAGTTGGTTGAATTAGTAGTTTTTTCTTTAATATCTGCCAAAACATATATAAAATGTAGTTGCGCGTAAAAAACTTTAAGGTTTATTAAAATAGATGAGGGCAAATTAGTTTATTTCCAGTCCAAAAAACTGAAAAAGGTTGCCGTTTCGGTGAATAGGTGGAAAATTAGCCCCACGCCTATAGTTACCTCTAAGCTACGGTGACAGCTTGGTTCGATTATAATTTTAGTTTCTACTAAAAGGTAGCTTTTTTTAATCAAAATATGTTCATTAACTTGAATATCTACTTCATTCTCTTATTGGTAAAATTCCCTTAGTGTCCATTAATTGCCAAGGTGTTACAGGTTAAACAAGTATATCATTTATACTGAAAATAACGTTTTGTTTTCGTCAAAGTTCAGAAGGTTACAGCATTAGGTTAGAGGGAAGCTTGGGATTACAACGGTTATTTTGAATTTAGTATTTGAGGTAAAAGAAAATAGTATAAAAAAAGATGTTAAGGTTATACTCGGACTGTCGTTTAAACGGTTAAGAAATATCAGTGCACTTGGGTCAGTCAGAAGGGAGTCACGTATAATAAATAAGAAAAGTAAGGAATGCAAATGGTAGGATTTTGCTGTGAGAAGGAATTAGAGTGATTAAATTTTTCAGAGAAAAGTAATGGAAACTTGGTGTGGATTCATGACGTGATTTTAGTTTTCATAATTTATTCGTTATACCTAAGATTTCATTACTGTTTGGTTTAGTAAACTAAACAAATATACCTTTTTTTCTTTTTAGCATATATAATTACTTTTGCATATGCGGTCGACCAGTCTTTATGTTCTATCCCATTGTTTTGTATTTATACACAGTAATCCCCCGAGTTATTTGGATCTGGGGTCCCGTTATGTTCAACATACTTTTTTTCTTAGTTATTCTTTGGTCACTGAAGGGATGACTACTCCATATTGTGTCTCACCTTTCTGTAATTAGCGTGACCGTAATAGATATATTGCCTTTATTGTCCATCTCCTAGGTTTGTTAGCCTTGGGGAGACAAGGGGTTAGTGGTTAAAGCTATGGTGTGTTTTCCTTTTACAGCACCCCTCTCTAATAAGGCATATTCAAGTTAGTTTTGTTTGTCGCACTGTCGCTGAGCTGTTTTAAAGTTACTTCTGTCTAGTCTTTTGCCCTATAACATGTTATACTTGAAGGTTCTATAATGACTCACCTTGTCCATGTCGAGTAGAGTGATCCCAACCTTCTATCTCATCTTTTATCAGGGAAAAACGTGAAGAGCGACAAGTGTATATACTCGTATAGGAATGGTATTTATTATTGCAAGGGAAGTAAATAAAAAAAATGTGAGACAGAAAACAACAAGCGCAGTGACACTTTAAAAAAGTACGTGGGGCACTCGATTTATCAAAGTTAACCACAGTATTTTAATCACTGTATTAACTGAGTCTTTTTTTTCTTCACGTTATGTATTAATAATTTATTTTCTACTAATGTAGTTGTAAGCGGCTTAATCAAGTTCCCTCACATCAGAGAAGGTTTTCATTCCTTTGGTGATGTGGATGAGTTAATGGTTTAAAGTGTTGTGGCGTAGGTGTCATAGTATAGTAGGCTCGGTGTGTGCTCTTGCATACTTTACTTTATTTTATGGATGGAGTTAATAAACTTCCTGGTAATATAAAAAGGTTTTTAAGGACGCTATTTATATAATCCCAAAAAAGTTGTGTATAACATTTTTCATTATATTAAAAAGCACTGCAAAGAAGGTTCTAAAAAGGCACATTTATAAGAGGTTAGAAAAAAGTAAGGCATGTTTTTAAAAGGAACATTTAATCCTAAAAAACTACTTTCAACAAAATTAAAGGTAACAGAAATACTAGATTTTTGGTTTATAGCCATTAAGTTAGTGATATATACTGAATCGTATCTTCAACTGACTAATATATATTTTTTTGGTGAAGAGGGGGGCGGGGATCGCATATATATAACGAAGGAATTTAGACTCAAACTTAAGTAGCAATATTTAGTACGTTTTGCAAGTAATTTAAATTATTGTTTTTAACATCCAATATTTCCTGTTCATGAATCTAATTTTGATAAGTCTATGGGAAGAAAGCATGAAAAATTAAAAATAAAAGTGCCAATAATGCACGGTTAAAAACAAAACTCTAGAGGAGCCGCTGCCGCAGTTAAAAATGCTTCGTAAAGTTAACTCAAGGTTTGAAATATGAACCACAATATAAACAAGAAGTGATATAAAATATTGAAGAAATTATTTAATATCTTGTAAATTAAACGTGGTAATCCCTACACAATACGACTTATTTATACTAGTTAGTAAATTTGTGCAAAATCTTTCAACCAAATACGATAATAAGGGAGCACAACAATTCCTACAAGATAATTTTTAAATAGAAATTATAATTATATTAGAGTACATTCGACAGGCATCAAGTTGTAGTTTTTAATTATAAATTTATGAACTTGAATACTTAAAAGTTCATCAGTCTCACCTAAACCTGTTTAGATTTAATTGGGATATCAGAGAATTTTAAAAGACATAAATTTTAATTATATTTGGTTGACATAATCAACAAATAAACATAATTAAACAACTATTAGTGGAAATTTAACCGATTTACTTAATAGTAATTAGAAACGTATATTCCATATTTTTGAAGATTACAAGTTTCTTTGTAGCTATAAATATATTTCGCTACTTTTTTTAAGTTCCCTTTCTTTTAAAAATAAAGAAAAAGTTAATGTATTGCTTGGCGTTAATCTTAAAAACACTATCATCACAGGATACTCGCTATAAATAACTATTGATAACACCTACTTCCCTTCACTTTTAATTGTGTACGTTACGATTTATATTGTCATCATTGTCGTCATTACTAACCAGGTTAAATTTGTCATGGATAGCACTTGAATGTTTTTTCTAATGCATTTATGTTTCTGTAGCCTTGATTGATTAATAAGCTACTACTTGTCTCAAAAAAAGTATCTTGCTATGTGTTTTAATACAGGTAACGTTTTATTTTTTTTTCGATGAGAAATTAGTTATGTCTCTGTGTAACCTTAACTTACAGGAAACTATACTGTTCTGTAAATTATCTTAGGAGTACATGGAAGGCAAAGAAAAGTATGAGGGTTTCAGAAGTCAATCGCTGCTCAAGAAAGAAAGCAAAGCCGTGCATTAACGTCAATGTAAGTCTAAAGCCGATCATTTGTGAATATTGAAAACTATAAGATTGTAAACCTAATTCAAGGTGTAAAATTTCATCAAAAAACCTGGTGTTGGCGTTTACCGTTTTATTATGTTAATTGCATTATGGATGATATAATAGTCAAGATTCACAACCTTTTTATACTACTTTCTGTTTTATAATTTTTTTAGTATGGCAAAAAAATATTATTCAAAAACAATTTCACCTGATGTACACACATCCTTCGTCTATATAACTGTGTTTGTAGACATGAGAAAAGATTTCTGCTAATTTCAGGTTTTTACAAATCCACTGAAAATAATAAATTATTTTTAACATAGAGCAAGTTATTAAGTTTCTCTGCTAAAACGGTTAGATGTAGTAGTAATATTTTGAAATTATATAGGGGTTCGATCGTTAAGCATTTATAATTTTCCAAGTAATATTAACTTAAAACTGAAGCTTTAAACAAAATAGATTAGAACTGAAGACCTCTTTTCGCTTAACAGATAATTTTATTAACTAAAATTATGATTTTTTAATTCCCTCTATTTACCGAAATATAGTCATCTTTAAATAATTGTCAAACGTAATAATCTTTGAATTAACTTTATTAACTAAATGCCAATGATTAATAATGTAGTCAACTTTTGTACTTATAATAAGTATTTAAAATTTTAATCTGTATACAATCAGTAGATAATAAAAATTTTTTATATAGTTCTCTTGAAAACAATCGTTAAAGTTAACATTAATACTTGCAAAAAGGGACTTATCGCTGTTCTATTAACATAATAAATGACATACTAGCACTTTCTGACCCTTCATCCTTGTTTATCTGTTTTGACTAATGCGAACTTTTTATATAAATTATTATAAGAACATTATGAATTAAAAACTTCACTAGAAGCTGGTGCGATTCGAAAAAAAAGGACTAAAAACAGTCATTAAAAACGAGCGAATCAGAATACTTACATTCAATTTTTTTAGAAAGCCCAACTAGGGAAAAAGCAGCTTGTATTTCAGATATTTGGCAGGGTACCCTGGTAATTATTTAGGATATTAATACCTTCCCTTTGAGAATTTTATATTATATAGTTTAACGATACTTTTGGATCGTTAGACCCTATGACCCAAACAAAGGAGGTGTTATATTTTTTTGCAAGTGTATATCTATAGATGTACTTTTGCCTCACGCTCGTTTAAACTGATGAGCAACTATTCCTAGCATTTAAAATAAGCAAAGCAGTATATTAAAGGCCACACACATATAAAATATAAGCTTTCTTTCCGAGTACTTGGGAATAACACTGGAAAAGATCTTGGCAGCTAACCCAATTTTTATAATAAGCAAATCTTTATAATTAGTTTACACAGTTTTAGCGTTGGGCTTTTAGTTTTTTTTTACTATGAAAAATAAGAATTTATATAAATAATAATACCTCTTATTGACAAATACTTTAGTAATTTTAAAGTAACGAAATTTTTTCAAAAATTTCATTAAACTGTTTTACTATGAATTAATTTTTTAGTTATATTACTTATTCTTGCTTCCCGCCTTATTTACACCAAAAATTATATTAATATAAGCTTTCACTTTAAATAAATAAAACATTTATTTTAGTAACTTTACGCGTTTTTAAACTTAATAGGCTTTATTAATACAAAATTTTTGTTTAGAGCTTTAGTTTTTTCTATTATTAAAGATTAGATAACACTTATAGGAGGCCATAGCACCGTAAAACTTTAAAGTTGTAAAATTTTTATTTTTGAAACTAGCTTTAATATAATTACTACTAATCATATCTCTAAAAAGTAGTTATAGAAGTTAAGATTTTAGGAACATATTCTAATAATATAATCACGATAGTCATAATTAATATCTTGAAAAAGCAAAAGGAAAATAAAATAGGGTACTGCTTCACGTCGCGTATGAACTTTAGTGTTTAGTCATATCAAGATTAATAACGCAAACTTTTACTATTATTCTCTGCTATAACTCCCTCTTATTACTGGAAAGACTAAACAAAAATTATTTAAATTTTATATTTTCTGCAGCACTCATTAATACCTTTGGAAATTTCGGTAAAGTTCCATTTATATAAATTTTCTGGAAAAAATATTATCTTTTTTACATAAAGAGGGTTTGCTTTTGAAGTTTCACTTTTAAATCTAATTTGGAAAAGGCAAAAGTTTATTGAAAGACGCTGTAAAAATCAGATTCAATGAAATTATAATTGCTAGTGAAGCAAAATAAGTTACTATAATGTACGCAATGAGAAAAGTAATCCTGTTACATAGCTATAGAAAGGAACTTGGTTTATTTCTTAGAAAAGTATTGGGACGGAAGCGGGGCTTTAAAGGTCATAGATACATGCGTAGGGTGCTAAAAGATTTTATCTGGTGCTCTTCGATAAAAAAGAAGGGTTCAACTCTGTTCTTGATAGCCGTTTTATGAAACAGGCATTCTTTTTCAATTTTATAATTTTATAAGTAACAGTAAAAATAAACCGTGAAAGTTCATATTTTCAAGGTAAGATCGTATACTCAGACATAGATAAAAGAAATACCAGTAATGCCTTCAGTCCTAAAAACAGTTGGCCATTAATCTTGAGGTTATCTAAATATAGTAAAAGATATTGATCTTGATACTGTCTATGAAGACTAAATTAACGAATACTGGGAAAACAATGATATCTTTAAAAGGTTTACTACCGTCGAGCAAGAAAGGGGAACCCTTGCAATGGAGGCATTCATCATCCATAGAGAGAGAGGAGGAGGGGGGGGGGAGGTTAGTGTTAACTTCCTCGGCCTTTAGCAATAGGGACACCCACTCTGCTACTTAAGGGTTTAGGTCCATTTCCTTATCTAAACTTTTTAATTGCAAAGCGAGTTTCTAACTATAAAAAGTATTATTTGCAATTAATATATTATATAGAAAGAACAAGACAGTTGACCGTATCCACTTGTGCATAAAGGGCAATTTATCACCTATAAATGAATTTTATAGCGAAAAATGTTATCATGTTTATAAAACAGTGTAAAAATGAAGCTACCAAGAGTATAATTACCCGCCTATTTTCCATTTACTGAGAATGTAAATAATATAAGCTTTTAGGATGTTTTAAGACCAACGAAACTGCCAAAACCTTTTTACTAGATAAAACTATATACCAACAAGATTCTATATATTGTTGTAATTGCTTATAACATGAAGACAGAAAGCTTTGAAAATTTTCCTAACATGACCGTTTTCAATAGAGATAAAAATAAACAATAATTTGAAGACTAAGTTGACATCGCATCCCTCCTTATCTTCCCGTTTTCTCTTTTATTACTAAAAGGTCCCAATAAGCGAAGCCTTATTTATTGGCGCATAACAAAACTAATTAATTACATATCTTAAGCTAAAACCTTTAAGCGTTTAACTGGGGTACACCAGCAGTTTTTAAATTCGGTAAAGAGCTTATTAACTAGTGCTAGTAAGCGTATTCAAATTATTGTGAGCTTACACTGAAATTCAAAGTTTATTCATTAAGGTAAAAGATATAGTACGGGGAATACGGAAGCAACGATCGTATATTTTACAACAATCAAAGGTATAACTTGTGCTTCCTTCTTTTATAACGCGATTGCTCTCAAAGGACTTCGAAAATTGGAAATTGTTACAAGAAAACTATCAAAGTACCTATCTTCTTGAAGGTTGCGCTTTTCTGTTAAATGCGAGAAGAGAAAGCAAACAAATGTACTATATTCACGTTTTCTTAAAACTTGTTTCTTATGCTAAATGTAAAAACTTAACATCAATAACTTTTTTTAAAAAAATTAACAATAGTAAAGTTATACTTGTAAAGGGATTCAAAAGAATTCTTTAAAAAATTTTAATAGAAAAATCTAATTACGCACTCTTCGTCAACCAATATTCTGTAAAATTAGTTAATATTTTATTTTTACAAGGATATTCTTATATTATGAAAGTACGCATTCGTAAGAAGTAAGCAATAGTAGTTTTAGTCATTTTGGTCAACTTCCATGTGCTTTTGATAATATGAGCTAGATATACTCGGCAGGGTACTCCAATTTTATTCCTTGCTGAAAAATGAAAAAAAAATTGTCGTTAATAAATTTAGTATAGCGATTAACTTTAAATTCTATGAGTAAAAGTAAAGATTCAGTTTTAAGCGTTCTGTTCTTGATGTGTTTATAGTGTAATGTAATATGTTTTTATAATTTTTAATTTAGTGATCTAATAAATATTGTTTGTCATCTAGCGCCAATAATACCTGTTGCGTTTTGTAGCCAAGATTTGATTTCCTTTCCCGTAGTATTATATCGAATGCATAGTAATTCCTTAACACACTTTTAATTTGAATTATGGTATGTTTGTTGGCATTCTTTATTACAAATATACTGTAAGTTGGATTCTTAAAGGGGTGACTATTGTGTTATGTGTCTTAGCTGTCTGGTGATTTCAGGTCAATGTGTGTATTGCATTTTTCATCACCTCCCGATATGGTGTATCCATATTACTTTTGTTTGTCACAGCCTTCTATTAAAGATGATCGCAAAGTTATTTTTATCTAGTATTTAGATATATTTAAATTAAACACTTGGGTTTTGTCGTAAGTTGCCTTGCTTTTGTCGAGTGTCGAATTCAAGCCTTCATTGCCTCTATTTTTACTTAACTAAGTAGAATATATTTAAGATTATTACCACTTAATAACCTTAGAGAAAACTCATTTCTATCAGTTCTGTTGAATTAACTATTACCAAGTATACATTTATAGAAAACTCCACTTACTTCAATGATAAGGAGAACTAATCACTTAAAACTCTTAACGCTCTGTTTTAACATTTTAGGAGAAACATCTTGTTACTCTCTGGTTCACTCGTCTTGTTCAACTGTTTTGACATCATGAGATCTTTTTTTACCGATTATTAGGAAAGAACTCTGTGTTAAATATTTATTTAAAGTTAGTGCGATCAAATAAGAACAAAGGGCTAAAAAATTTAGTACTTAAAAACTTGCGAATTATAATACTTCTAATCGCCTTAATTTGGAGAACCTCAAAGAGAGACAAAGCAGCTTGGTTACTATAATAGTGGGTGTATGGATACAATATTCATAGTTAATCTCATATATCCTTATCTATAATTTAAGATATTAATCCCTTCACCTTCAGTGCAGTTTCATAAATAATTGCATAATATATGAAAGTTTAGCATAGGCACACCGATAATTTTTTAATGATATATTTATCTAAAATTTTGCTTTATACCACAATAACCCAGATAAAGTTGTGTCGTCGCTTTTTTTTTTTTTAAAATTTATATCTTTATAAATTTCGCCTAACACACGCTCCAATCTAATCAACAATTATTCTAAAAAAAAGTAGTTACTACGGGCATCTACAAGTCCCCTTGGAAGCTACTACCGCCCTACGATTTGGACGCCATTTTGCGATTGACTTCTCTGCTGATGAGAATGGGCCTTTTTAATTTCTTAGTCAATAGACAGCTGTCTTGACAAAGTACTTTAAACTCTCGTAAAAACATTTTAGAAGAATATATAATATATTTAATAAGCTTAAAGATATTTTCAGAATATATAGCTTTTGCGTTGTACGCTTTTTTTAAATGTTTTTCCTTCTACACCTTGCCCTCACAATTAGGTGTTTAAGGGCAGAATTCCCATCTATTAATAAAATATATAAAATGTATTTCTCTCAAATTTAAAATACCTTTTAATGTAATGGTAGATAAAAATCATCTACAAA